GTCACAAGTCACAGTCACTGTTGAAGCTCCTCTCACTACAACGATGGACCCGACACACGCACCGTGAATACATGGAATGATGAGAGGTTTCGTCTCTCTATATATATTAAACCTACACCTGGGTCACAAGTCCCAGTCACTGTTGAAGCTCCTCTCACTACAACGATGGACCCGACACACGCACCGTGAATACATGGAATGATGAGAGGTTTCGTCTCTCTATATATATTAAACCTACACCTGGGTCACAAGTCCCAGTCACTGTTGAAGCTCCTCTCACTACAACGATGGACCCGACACACGCACCGTGAATACATGGAATGATGAGAGGTTTCGTCTCATTATATATATTAAACCTACACCTGGGTCACAAGTCCCAGTCACTGTTGAAGCTCCTCTCACTACAACGATGGACCCGACACACGCACCGTGAATACATGGAATGATGAGAGGTTTCGTCTCTCTATATATATTAAACCTACACCTGGGTCACAAGTCCCAGTCACTGTTGAAGCTCCTCTCACTACAACGATGGACCCGACACACGCACCGTGAATACATGGAATGATGAGAGGTTTCGTCTCATTATATATATTAAACCTACACCTGGGTCACAAGTCCCAGTCACTGTTGAAGCTCCTCTCACTACAACGATGGACCCGACACACGCACCGTGAATACATGGAATGATGAGAGGTTTCGTCTCTCTATATATATTAAACCTACACCTGGGTCACAAGTCCCAGTCACTGTTGAAGCTCCTCTCACTACAACGATGGACCCGACACACGCACCGTGAATACATGGAATGATGAGAGGTTTCGTCTCTCTGACCAATATATATTTTTTAAATGTATTATATATTATAATATTAATTAAAGATGTATAAACTAACTATAAAAACTATTATAACTTTAGTATGTCGCGTCATCATAAAACTATAGGAGAAAAAATAATTATTTATATATATAAAACATTGAAATGAAAGTTTAAACAAGTCGTAGGCTAACTAAAGACAACTTATTAAAATTAATTCCGACACAAAACATAAAATAAACAATTTTTTTTGTATTTTCTATAAAAAAAATATTAAAAACTGTCACAAAACTGTTCTCTGATCACCAAAATTAATTGTAAAATTTAATTTATTCTTCATTCAGAAGCGCGGAAAGCCATGATTATGTAATTTAACGAAAATTGGTCTCTCATCACAAAATTTTGATTCTTAAAACCATACAAGATTGAATACATAAATCAGTATAATAAATTGGAAAGAATTTTATCATACAACGAAAAAATGTATGAAGAAGATGGTTCATTCATTTGTTTATTGTTGTATTTTTAATATAAAAACATAATTTTATTTATATATGTATATACGTATATATGTATGTATAAAAATTGGTTTTAGATTTTCAATATTATATTATAATTAAAATATAAATAAAAGAATAAAATAAAGTTTATTACTAAAGAATTGCAACTAATCTAATAGCCATTTTCTTACTAATTGTATCCATTTTGAATTCTATTATATAAATATATTTATATAAATAAATATCTGAATTTAAATTGTAATCAACTAAAATAACTACTGCCTTCAAAATTAGTTATTACGGAATACGACCAAGTATATTCTTATACTTCATAAATATAGGAAAGAATTAATGTAAATAAATGAAAATATCGATAATATTGAAAAAAAAGTAAAGTTTTGTTGTAATTTTTTAGATTGACTCGATTTTACAGTCGTTTAAATAAAATTAATATTATTCGGATATAATACGCGGTTTATTTTTGTAAAAAACTACATACTCCCGACTTTTCGGTTATTTTTCAGCAAATGATCACTGATTAGTGAAAACATTAGTTTCATTTAAATGATTACTAATCTTAAATCTTAGATCTCATCATGTTTAATAATGAATAATAAATTCAAAATAATAACCAATATTACTTATACTAAAATATCCTTACTACAAGTAATACGACACTACGCACGTAACGTTTTGAGTATTTCATTCATAAATCCTGTCACATTATAGTATTAAATATTATTGAATGTGAGAAAAGAAACTCGGTTTATGTAGTATAAAAATGCACACTTTGTAAAGATATTGGTTCACTTGTAGACTTAAGCGAACTCGAAAGATTACAGGAACAAAAACTAGCTATAATCCATTATAATCCTTACATAATTTGGAACATATATAAGTAATTAGTTTATTGAAATTTTAAGTAATTACGAGACTAAACCTCTCATCATTCCATGTATTCACGGTGCGTGTGTCGGGTCCATCGTTGTAGTGAGAGGAGCTTCAACAGTGACTGGGACTTATGACCCAGGTGTAGGTTTAAGGGACCCTATCTAACGTTAAACGCTCACCTCCACCGTCCAAGCTCCTCTTTCTATCAAATTTGAAAAGACCCTACTAGGAGGCAGCCTTCTAACGTCCCAAGAATGTATTAATGTTAGTTCTGGACAAGCCCAAGTCTTTTAGTAGGTTGTAGAGAGACTTAGCTGTTATACCTCTCGCTACCACCTCTACCGCGTACAAATCTACTACGAACCTATTTCGAGTTAGTTCGTTAGTGAGTTCGTAATATTTGTTGACCTTGATGGTATGGTCTTTGGGGATGCTGGTTTCCCTAGGGACCGTAAGCTTTATCATCATCATCTATTTAGTACTAAAGAAATGGGACATATATATGTATATATATAAGGGAATTTAATTCACCATAAGTTAATTAAGTATATATTCCCAATCTATATAACAGAAAGTGATAAAAATCTTTAAAGATTCGATTTGACATTGAGATATTTAAAATCTAAAATGTATTTTTGAGTATATACACACAATAAATAGAATCATCGAATTCAAAAAGTAATTGGATATTTTATTTTACTTAATGAATTATTTAATATAAAAATGATATCCAATTTTACATATAAAGGAGACTTCAATAACATTTTTTAAAGATAATATTTTAAAATTTTGTGTTAATGGTTGCAGATAGTACATTGAAATGGAACTAAATAAAATCGAAGCTTTTAACATATTTTTTTTATCATATTTAGTTTTTTATATATGTAGACTTTATATTAAATTAAAATATCTATAATAGACCCATTTTTATGTAAAAATCTCTCGGTATCTTTAACACGAGTTTGCATAACTACATACGTATAGTTTCCCGTTTCTCATTTACGTTAATACTATATGAGAAGATTAGAAATGAAATACTGATAACTCTGCGTATGCAGTGATAATACAAACTTGTAGTAAGTGAATGAGATTTAAACATTTTGAAAGTATTCATTTAAATTAAACTAATATTTTTGTAGTACTACGCGTTTATTATAACTACATACTCCCGACGTATTGGTTACTTTGAAATCGTGATCACGGACAGACGGACAAATGGTAAGTGAAGTATCATAAGTTTAATATTAATGATAACTTCTTTTTCTATACCCAATATAGCTAATTAAGACTATAAGTCATGAAATTTGATAGAAAACTCAATTATTAATAATTTATTTTAGTTATTTTTACTTAAATACACTTAAAATGAGAGTGTTTTGTGTTTTTAGATTATGAAAAACGTCTACTTTTACCCTACAGTCCTTAATAGAAGGTATACACGCAGATATTAAATTTTAAACAAAACTATAGGAAAAATATAGTCAATAGTATTATCGTTATATAGAACATGAAATTAAAACATGATTGATACCTAATTAATCATTATGATTTTCAGTTTATTTGATACAGTACATCATCAGCCTATCAGAGCCCACTGCTGAGCTGCCTCTTCTCACATGGAGAAGGTTTGAGCATTAATCACCACGCTTGCTCAAGACGGGTTGGTGATTTCAAACTTATAATGGTGATATTATAAGTCCAGGTTTCCTCACGATGTTTTCCTTCACAGTCAGTGATGTCTAAATACTTTTAATTCCACAAAAACAACGATCAAACTGAACGTTTAACGTATTCTTTAAAGTCGATCTAACTATCAGTATTTAGGTAATTTCGAGACAAACAATTAGATACTTGCTTCATGTAATAGATATTAAAAATTGATTAAATTATACCCCTTAATTAATTATGAATGTTCAACCATTGAAGGGTTCCGGCTGGCATTTAAGGCTTTCCTATTCGGTGGGATAATACGTCATCGTGGAATTATTTATTACATATACAACCCAATATACATATATACATATGTATACATATATTTCGGGATTATATATGTATATTCAACTTGAGACTTAATACTATAAATACCCTTTGAAGTCAGTGGTGGTCTAGTGGTTAAAAGGCTCGCCTTTCATGCATGAGGGCGTGGGTTCGATCCTGGCAAGTATCATGTGATTTTTCCGAGTCATATGTACTTTGTAAGAGTATTTAGACATCACTGATAATGCATTCCCAAAGCTTAAGCTGGGAAATTGCCAGGTAGAAGAAGACCATATATGTATATCCTTCATTATGTATCGAAATTATATTTTAGTATATGTAGTAATTTTCGTATTATATAAAGCAGTCTAATAAATTAAATATGTATATTACACGCCAAAACCAAGTTTCAAGGCCCAACCCTCGAACGAAAATTTGGACAAGATATTAAATGATGAAATGTCTATGGGTGTATATAGAGGTACTTAATGTCGATAGTAATCAAATTAAATCCTCCTACTATAAATGATCATAATATAAATTCTATTTAAAATAAAGCTTGTATTTATAATATACTAGCTTTTCGCCCGCAGCTTCGCCCGCGTGGAGTTCGGTTATATCGCGATTCCAAGAGAACCTTTCAAAAGTCTGGGATAAAAACTATCTTATGTTCTTTCTCAAGGTCAACTCTATATGTACCAAATTTAAAATCAGTTCAGTGGTTTAGGCGTGAAAGCGTAACAGACAGATAGACAGAGTTATTTTTGCATTTATAATATTATTAGGAATTTGAAATTGTAAATTAAAAAATATCGATTAGTACATCCCTATATTAAAAGCTGATCGAGTAATACCTGAGGCAGTAGTGGTGGCCGTTGTAGTTATCGATGTCGAGGTCGATGTTTCGTTTGGTGTGGACGTGGTCATCTCTACGATTCTGTCCACAGCTATTCTATTCCCCGGCAAGATCCCCGGACTCTCCGCTGGCGAGTCCTCCACAACTTCTGTCACCTCAGGGCTGGCGGTCTGTGTCAAATCGTTGGCGACAATGACATTGACAGTTGTCAGAGATTCCATGTCAGTTGAGTTCTGTACGGGTATTTGTGCGTTATCGATGTATACAGCGGCTGAGCGCGCTCCCAGAGACTCCATGACGCTCTCAGCCAAAGATCTGGTGGACATCTCACTGATATCGATATCTTGCTTGATGTCGATGATTATCTGGTGTCTCTTCCCGCTGCCGCTGCCCTGGTGCACCTGGTGGACGCTCACCTGCGCCTCGGTGACCGGCTGCACGTGGTGTATCACGTGCGTCAGCTGCCCATCACTATTGTCGCGGCCCGCCATTTTGTTTTATCGATATCGCTAGCCGACACTTACATCCAACACTAGATCAGCCTTATGAATCAGTCGGCGTGTTAAGCCCGTCCTATCCTAGTAGAGGCGCGTATTAATCTCTAATGAACACAGCTATCACTATTGTTACAGTAGTACAGTCATACAGTCTATATTAGTCTGGTTCCGTACATTGTGTTTACTGCACTGCACCGCGCAGATGCACAGTAACTGGGTCAGGGGTCGTCATCCTCCTAATTTTTATTGATATAGGATCTTTGTGCGTCTGTGATAGGTAAATGGCAGTGATGGTTGCTATCAGGCACTGTGCTTCACATGGTGTGTCCCAGCTGCGGCGTGTCTGGCTCGCGACCTAGTGTTTTGTTTGGGACCTAGGGACACATTGACACAGTGTCCTATATATTCGGTACGCGTACCGCGGACGCGGCCGTCGGTCGTAGCCACTGTGAGGCCTACGAGCCGTAGCGCTACGACGCGCAGCGTAGCACCCAAGAGAATAACAACCCCGGATACATCCTACGATATATCTCGAGATGACATAATAAGGTATGAAGTTACGTCACTTATATGTTATAATTAACATCACAGTCTTAAATATAAGCAAATAAAAACCTAAATAATTTAAATTTAGAACACAAATTTTTCAGAACAAATATATTGTATGAAATCCCACGATATTTCTATTCGTATCTCGTGTGAGCCTATCAGTACTGCCAGCCACTCTACTGCGCATGTCCGTAAAGCGGTTATCCTCCGTCCCTCTCTAACACTATATCCATCTCGCTCCTTCTTCGATCGTTCGGGAATGACGAAAAAGCATATAATAGAATTTATGTCAGTCCCTGGGCGACGTATTACCGACGTACTGGTTGGACATTATTTTTTATTATTATTTTTTTATGACAAATAATGAAAAGAAGTTGTATATATAATAAATATTAATACTAATAAATATGATTAATATATTCTATTAAAATAATGGCAATTTTTTTTAATCTAAATTATTTAAATTTCATAAACTGTAAAACACCATATTTCTCAGCATATATAAAATATTATTAATATATACAATATATTTTTTGTCATATAAATATGAATATTATTTTTTCTGTTGACGGTACGTTACATAAACGAATGATCCAACTGTCCAAAACAAGAAACTCAAAGTAAACATCGCTGTGTCTACAAGTAATACATTTTAATATGTCTTTACACTAGTCACTACTAGCATCGAGGATAGATTATTAAACTTATGATAAATTATATCGTATATTTAATAAAATCAAAATCTATATGAGAAAATATAAAGTTAAATAATTATCGATACGTACCGAACCTAAACATGCATCGATATCGATAAAATTTTATTTCCATATTTTCCAGTACAAGTTAAATTTAATATTGGATATTTTATTTTGCTTTTTACCCAAAAAAAAACCTATTTTTTTTGTTAGTCGTGTCTCCCTATGATTCATTTGTTATGTATACTTTTTAAGGAATAACCTTGAATTTCATTATACTAGTAGTTCCAAATTAAAACATTGTTTTATTATTATCAATTTCTTAAGTATGCATTGTTAATTATATAGATTTTTTATATGTTAATAATTAGTTATATTATAATAATAGTGACCGAAAATATTAAGAGACGATTTTATACTCTGCACAACCATACATATATAGACAAATACATGTATGTATATGTGTATATAATATATCATACATTATCATGTCAATGTCATAAATGTCAAAACGTAATTTTTTCCATCATAAGTAATAAGTATGGTATCAAATAAGGTTGTATATATTAGTAATATTATATATTAAGCGGTTAATTCACTAAGTCAATTATAATTCTATTCGCCACTCTCGTAAGGCTTCCGTTTTTAGTGATATTTTTATCTCGTATTGATTCTGTTCGTATTTAGGTTCGGCTAATTTTAATACTGAGGCAATGTTATGTAAATTTTCATATTTCAGCTACAAAAGACTTGGGCCTGTCCAGAACTCACATTAATTCATTCTTGGAACGTACGTCGAAGGTAGCCCTAGTAGATTCTTTTCAAAGGTAGAGAGAGGAGCTTATACAGTGGAGGTGAGCGTTTAACGCGTTAGATAGGGTCCCTTAAACCTACACCTGGGTCACAAGTCACAGTCACTGTTGAAGCTCCTCTCACTACAACGATGGACCCGACACACGCACCGTGAATACATGGAATGATGAGAAGTTTTATCTCTATTCTACCATATTTATATAATTTTGTTTATGTTACTTTATAACTCTGAAACTACTATCGCATAAAAGTTTAATTTGGGTTTGAAACATGTTTAAATAAAACATTTAGTCGCTCTCAATCCGCTTTGAGTTACATCCGAGTTGCAGATTTCAGAATTAGGCTTGGTTTACATTCATAGGAGCTAGCGTTGAAACTTACAATTACTTCTTTAATATATAAAATGTTGCTGGTTAAGTTACTTAACATAAAAAACCTATTGAAATATTTCCTTTTTGAGGTCAATACATATTATATAAATATTAATTTATAAAATATAAATAAGACTACATACTAAGACGTTCAAATTATATATGTGTAATGAGAGGCAGACCATTAAAATAATTCTACAAATATAAAGATGGAAGAAAAAGTATATAATATATATGTTTATATATACATATATGTATATATATATATAAGCTGATTAGGTGTTATATATATATATATATATATATATATATATATATATATATATATATATATATATATATATATATATAACACCTAATCAGCTTTAATTTATATTAAGGACAAATATATATATTTGATGTCACGTGACTTATTTGGGGTCAAAATTTGTATTGAATATACAATAAATGACGTATTAATAATATTCTAAGAGCTAGCAACGTTTTTGAACAAGCATTTCAGGTAGGCTAGTTTTTAGATATGCTATCTCTCACACTCCCCTGGACGTCATACGGGCTATCTGGCTGCCGGTAGTGGTTGCGTTCATCAGTGCGCATCGTACTTGTGGAGGTAAAAAATTAATATACCAAATCATTTTAAGAAGGTTTTTATTATTATTATTATTATTATTATTATTATTGAACTATTCACAACATAAATTTATTATTGCCAGGTATTTTTATTGTTGTTTAAACGGTGCCAAGCGGCAATTTTGAATTAAAAATTTATTTTTTTCAAACTATTTTAGTATAGCTGAAATTTTAATAGCATGATATTTAACTATCTAAAAGCTCAAAATTAATTTGCCAGGAAAAAAATCGGTTGTTAAACTTTTGCCAGATCGAAATAAAGTGTAAAGAGATGTAGTATCATTTAGCTTGGTCTAGAAAATTAATCGTCTAATAAATGATGGAAGAAGGATTAAAAACTATTGAATTTATTTATAGATGAATACGGTATAAAAATAAGACTTTATTGTTGTACAAAATTGAGATAATGATCAATGTTAAGTTTGAAAAAGATCATCATCTTCATCACTGCTGTCATTTCCATTGTTATCATCGTCCTTAAAATTATTATCATTTTGTAATAAGCTGTTATCTGTAATAGTATCAAAAATTTTAATATTTTTATTTTTTTTTATGTCAAAGGTGGCAAACGAGCAGACGGCCTACTTGGTGTAAGGTAGTACCGCCGCCCATGTACATCCGCCACATATTTGTTGCGAATGCGTGGCCAACCTTGTTTTTTTAGGGATAGGAAGGGGTGGGAATAAGGAAATGGTAGGAAAGGGTGGGAAATATGAAAAGGGCAACCGGCTCTCTCACTCATCGGACGAAACGCAGTCATTAAAGGCTACTTCACGCCGATCTTCTGTGAGAGGGTGGTACTTCAACGGTCGAGCCAAACCATGTTCGAGCTGTAGTAACTTACAACAGCTAGGCTCTACCACCTAAAAAAGATCTATCTTTCGAGAAATATTTTTTTTTTGTATTTTAGTTCAAATTTTTACCTTTAATAATAATATCAGCAACTAATGTTGGTAATTGCTCCCCAACAAACCAGATAAAATCATATTTATCATCATTAATGGTCCAGCCAGAAGCTTGAGGTGATAGAGATGTTGGATATTTTAAATAAGCATTTCTCAAAAACGTTGTGACATAACGAACTCGTAGTAAGTGTTGATATAACTCAGCTTTACTCGGTGGTAGACTTGATGGATTAAAATTACGGAACTTTTTTCCAAAATTATACGATAGGGTTTTAGAAATCATACGTGAAGCGGTTAGTCTTTCGGTAGCCAGAGCGCTTTTTCAAACTTAACATTGATCATTATCTCAATTTTGTACAACAATAAAGTCTTATTTTTATACCGTATTCATCTATAAATAAATTCAATAGTTTTTAATCCTTCTTCCATCATTTATTAGACGATTAATTTTCTAGACCAAGCTAAATGATACTACATCTCTTTACACTTTATTTCGATCTGGCAAAAGTTTAACAACCGATTTTTTTCCTGGCAAATTAATTTTGAGCTTTTAGATAGTTAAATATCATGCTATTAAAATTTCAGCTATACTAAAATAGTTTGAAAAAAATAAATTTTTAATTCAAAATTGCTGCTTGGCACCGTTTAAACAACAATAAAAATACCTGGCAATAATAAATTTATGTTGTGAATAGTTCAATAATAATAATAATAATAATAAAAACCTTCTTAAAATGATTTGGTATATTAATTTTTTACCTCCACAAGTACGATGCGCACTGATGAACGCAACCACTACCGGCAGCCAGATAGCCCGTATGACGTCCAGGGGAGTGTGAGAGATAGCATATCTAAAAACTAGCCTACCTGAAATGCTTGTTTTTTTGACGTTGCTAGCTCTCGTACCATAATAGATTTTCTAATAATGATTTATTATTATTAATAAAAATGTAATGTCTACTTATATATTTGTACAAGTTATAACTGTCTGTATGTATATTGTTCTACATAACGAATGTATCTTGTCTATA